TGAACCTAAAATCAGTGTGGTCTGGATATGGTGAGGGTGTATTTCAGAGTTGGAGACTGTTGATTTCTTAACGTAGGTTGGTGTATTCTCTGGAGTGTCTGTGAATGTAGGTACTGACTATATTTACCAGGCCTCCACCCTCACAACCCAATCATCTTCCAAAAGGCCTCACTTCCTAATATTATCATCTTGTGGGATGGAATTTCAACATAACCCTTTTGGAGAGACGCAGACATCCAGTTCATAATAGCAAGTAAAAAGACAGAGATCAATGCAGTAACTTAAGTCATAGGAAAGTGTCATTATCATTAATAATGATAATGATAATATTTTCTGGTTTTTAGGTGTAGATGGCAAGAATTGTTTGTTATTGGATAAAGTGTTAGATTAACGTGATCATAGAACTTAATATACTGTTAGCTTTCCAGTAGACCAGGTAAATAAAAATAATATAATAATTTAAATAAAATGGAATTGTTTATTTTCAAGGGTCTGTGGAATATTAACAAATATCTTAACTGGAAGATTGTATGCATGTATATTTAAATTTTTTAAAAAATTTATTTATTTTTATTTTATGTGAATGTTATGAAATGCCTGTGGAGGAGAGAAAAATGTGTCAGATTCCTGGTACTGGGGTTATGGTTCATTGTTAGCCACCATGTGGGTGCTGGGATTCGAACCCAGGACTTCTACGAGAGCAGCCTGTGCTTTTAACTGCTGAGCCATCTCTTCAGCCCCCTGAGTATTTTCTTTTAAAGGGAGGGTTTCTCTTTGTAGTTGTGGCTGGTCTGGATCTTGCTATATAGACCAGGCTACTGTTGAACTCTTAGATACCCACCTTCCCCTGACACCTGACTGCTGGGATTCAAGTCATATGCCATCACATCTAACACTTAGCTTAAAAAATTATATTTTAATTATGTATATGTATGTGGAAGTAAGGGGTATGGGGTTGTGCATGTAAGTGTGTTGCTGGAGATACAGACTGTTACGATCTGCCTGACCTGGTTGCTGGTTATAGTACTCAGGTACTATGGAAGAGCAATATGCAGTCTTAACTGCTGAGCCATCTCTCCAGCCCCTTAACTTTTTTAAACTAATAAAAAGCATAAAAGTATATAATTTTGTGGGAAACCATTGAATGTTTTTGTACATGTATGCATTGTGCAGTGTTTAAGTTAGTAACAACATCTGTCTCCTCAAAGTGTATGGCAATGGTGTCAGCATACATAAGTCCCATGCAAACTCAGACAAAAATCCAGCATAGAACTGGGGAAATGAACAGCAGACCCTAATCATAGCTGAAGAAATATTGGCAACTGATTACTACTAGGTGAGGAAGAACTGATCTTCCTAAAACAAGGGATTCTAGATAGGCTGACTAGACCTCAGTGGATAGACTTGCACTGGGGACCATTTGGGGATATACTGACTTGATAAAGTGGGCCTTAGGGCAGATGACAGAATATATGGGTTCCCTTGGGGGGTGCTATGGGAGGGTGCTGTGGGAATGGGGGTATAAAGATTGTTTGAGATATTCTGTATGAAATACACAAAAATTCAATGAAAACAATTTTTTAAATAGTGTTTAAAATCCTTTCTTTTAGCTTTCTGAAATGTACATTATTGCTATGTATAGTCACTCTTCTATAGTTGCCTCATGATTGATCTATAGTGAAGTGACTCCCCAAGTACTTACTCCTCTACTGTGCAGTACGGGTTCCCATCCATATCCATTTGACCCCCAGCCCATACAAACTGCCATTGCACTTTCCACATTTAAGAACTGAGTTCTGGGGCTGGGAGATAGCTCAATGAGTAAAAGATAGCTTGCTGTGCAAGCATGATGATTTGAATTCAAATCCTTAGCACCCACATAAAAGCCAGGCATGGGGGCTGGAGAGATGACTCAATGGTTAGGAACACTGAATGCTCTTGCAGAGGACCCAGGTTTGATTCCCAGCACCCACATGGTAGCTCGGAACCGTTTTGAACTCCAGTTCCAGGGGAATCCGAAGCCCTCTTCTGACCTCCGCGGCATTGTACGACACGCGTGCACTCACATACATGCAGGCAATACACTCCTACACATAAAAAAATAATAAATAAAATATTTAAAAAATAAAAAAATAAAACCTAGGCATGGCTGTACATGTCTGTGTCCCAAATATTGGACACAGATGGTTTCTAGGAGCTTCCTGGCCAGCCAGCCTAAGGCTACGTTCATGTTCAGTAAGGGACCCTGTCTTAGGGAAATAAAGCAAAGCAAAGGGAAATAAAGAGACTTGGTGTCCTCCTCTGACCTGTGCACATACTTAAAAGCATGTACACACACAGTCTCCTGTGTATATACAGGCACATAACACACATATGCCCCACCCCCCCACACCACATACATGCCCTCCCACCCCTCTCCACACTCCCCCAAAAGAGAAACCAAACCAATCAACCAAACAAACAAATAGTAGTTCTGTCTGTTGGGCTCAACAGGGAGGTAGGAGATGAGAAAGAGGACCAGACAGTTAGAGGTGTGTAGAGCAAACAGCTCTGCTCTTATATGTTTATATAGTTTCTATGTTGGAGTGTCCCGTAAAATTTATTTTAAGATAATTGAATGCTTTTAGCTGCTAAAAGTAAATAGGGTGTTAAATAAAGAAATGGTTTGATTGGCACTATATGAAACCTCAAAGTAAGCCACATTCCTAACTTCATTTCAATAAAACTAAAGATTAATGAAAGAAATTTGAAAGGGCGTATAATACAACTCACTTTAACTCAGATAAAAATAGGGTTAAAGAGAAAACTAAGAGTTTCAATTATAGCCTATTTTGAAAAGAAATAAAATCATTGTTTATCAAAAGCTATCAGTTACAGACAGAAAAATAGTGGCAGGCAACTTCCCTCATGCTGGTTCTGCATCTGATGGACAGAACACAGAGAATTAGGTGAATGCCTGTTTTCTAAATTCTCCCAAGGATGGTACATAACAAGTTTTGTTCTAGAAGCATTGAAGATTAGTTAATTTGTTTCATACAGTGTATCCTTAGGGCACTATTGCTTATTCTTTTAATGAACTCTGGTTGAGCAAGGCAGGTATGCATTGTTATTAAAATGATAATCCCTAGTGGGTTGGGGATATGGGTAGCTGAACATTCTCATATACAGCTAGTTTAAGTATGAATTGCAACTGCCTACTCAGAAAGTAGTTTGCTAATCTGTTTTTGGAACCATGAGTCCATTAAGATATGATACCCTTTGCCTGGTACTATCACTGTGGTAATTGATAGCAAAATAGGAAATTTGATTAGCTAGTTTTGACCAGAGACCTGATATCACATGTTTTTATTATAACACTTTTATAATCCTGGAAATACAGAGATGGTCTATATTTGTTTCATCTGGCTTCAATATTTAACTATTTTGCTAATCGTATTACATTTGTTTCTCTGCCCTGTGTACATTTAATGTTTTTCTGATATTTGGACAAAATCAATCTAGAATTTGATAGTCCACTTTCTCATTTAAGTTTTAATGTTTTTACACCACGTATGTCTCTGTTACTTTCTAAATATTTCTTGAGATTGATATTCTCTGTTCTCCTTTAAGATTAACTTTGCTGGTTCATGTGTTTTCCCTCCAGCCCATTCATGCTGACCCCTTGCAGGACACCCCATTATTTAATGACATCCCAGGCAGGCATTTTACTCATTCTGTGGCCCTTATTTACACATTAATTGCTTATTGTTTTTGCTGTTACAAACAAAGAAACAAACAACAAACAAAAAAAACTTTCTGTCTGTAGCTCTAAATGATTTATCTAGGATACAGCCTGGGAATACACTTGTTGGGCCATCAGGGTAACACAATTTCATTGTCAAATTGCTTTTACTTATTTAAACAGTCAGTAGTAGGGTTACTTTCTGTTCTTGTATATTTGAAATTTGAAACTTTTAACTTTTGTCAATCCAGTGAGTAGTAATGAGCTACTCATTTTCAAAACATTTTTTGTACCATTTTAATTGAATTTTTGTGTATTTCAGATAAAACATCCTAATCATCTTTATACCCTCTCCCCGTCTGCACTCTCTCATAGGCTTCCCCCACCAGATTTCATGCATTCTGTCATTTATGTTAAGACCTATCCATGACTCATTGTTTTAATTTATGATTCCGTGATTCCAAGTCAGCTTGGATCTACTGCCCATGACTATCAGACACTCTGGAGACTTTCTGGAATGTATTCTTTGTCTGTTTTTTTGGTTGGTTGGTTTGCTTTTTCTCATTTATTTATGTTTTTAGCATTTTTCATATGCTGCTTCTTAAATGTATTGATTCAGCTGTTAGATTGTATTGAGTGTATTGTTATTCAGTCTTTTTGTGAATATCAGTTTATAGTTTTAGTGATAAATTTGAGCAGTCTTTTCTTTAAAATTTTAGATGGCTCTTGCCAGGAGTGGTGGCGCATGCCTTTAATCCCAGCATTTGGGAGGCAGAGGCAGGCGAATCTTTTTTTTTTTAAATTATTTATTTAATAACCACATACTTAGAAGAAGGATTTCATTACAACAGCATTGACATATTCAATAACAGAGGCAGGCAGATCTTTGTGAGTTTAGGCCAGCATTGCCTGTGTGTATGTAAGTATACCCGTGTTGTTTAATGACTGTGGAGGTCCAGAAGAGGACATCAGATTCCCCTGGAACTAGGGTTACGAATGGTTCTTAGTCACCTTGTAGGTGCTGGGAATCCAACCTGGGTCTTCTGCAAGAGTAGCCAGTGTTCTTAACCTCTGAACCATCTCTTCAGCCCCAGCATTTCTTGTAAATTTTGACTATCTTACATTTTTCTAAGTGGCTTATAGAATACTTTGGCTATTACATTAGAAAACTGGTTTTATATTTAGACAATTTAATTTTTATAAGTAACCTGAATGCTATGCTTTATGTCAAATTCCTAGTACTAGCATGGTATTGATTATGTGATCTTTATTTTTTCAGGTGGTTGGAATCCATTTTCTCACCCATATAAAAAACTGGATTATGGAAAATGGGAGCTGTATATCCCACCCAAGCAGAATAAATCTGTTCTGATACCTCATGGATCCAAGTTGAAGGTATATTCCTCTTTTTCTTTTTGACAGGGTATTGCCATGTAGTAAAAGCTGGCCTCAAACTTCAGCCCTCTTGCCTCAGGCTCTGGAGTGCTGGGAGTAGATGTGTGTACAGTGACACAACCTGACCCAGTTTTGAAAGAGCATATTAAATAGCTGATTCTTTCCTAGTTCATCAGGTTTACTGTTATGAAAACTGTGTGTGAAGACATACATTTAAAAAATTATTCATGTTTTAGTACCTTAGGAAGTTAATTTGTTTCTTTTTAAAATATTATGTAATTTTTATCCTTTTTTTAATTAGAAAATTTTGAATCCTGATATCTTCCTTACTGTTAAAATTAAATGCTGACTAAATGAATTTCAAAATGTGGTTTCTGTACAAATAGTAAAATAGTTAAATACCTATTGAGCTTTCTTAATCAAAAAATTCAAAATCTAAAATGTTTAAAATTCAGAGGCTGGAGAGATGGCTCAGTGGTTAAGAGCACTGACTGTTCTTGCAGAGGACTGGGGTTCGATTCCTAGCACCCACATGGAGGCTAACAGCCATCCATAATCCAGCTGCAGGGGATCTGACACTCTCTTCTCACCTCCACAGGTATTTCAGACATGGGTACACTTACATACATCTGGGCAATACACTCATATACACAAAATAAAAATAATAAATAAAATATTTTTAAAAATAAGAAGCTTTTTGAGTGCTAACATGATCCCACATGTGGAAAATCCATACCATGAAATTTTGCTTCATTTATAAGTTGTTAAAATATTGTAAATGATTACCTTCAACTATGTGTATAATGCATAGCTAAAACAGAGATGATTTTTACTTAGATATGGGCTCCCTCTCTAAGTTACCTCATTTATATGAAGCTATTCCAAAATCTAAGAAAAAACATCTGATCTTAAGCATTTCAGTTAAAGAATTCTTAACCTGCATCAGGAATGAATGACTGTTGGTACATTAGAACTGCATTGGGTGTTTACATCTTTAATCTGGCTGAAATATTTTACAGCTTCTATCCTATGCTACATGGTTTATTGTGCTTCTTTAAGAAAATTATCTTCCTTGGTCAAATGAAATAATCTGGTAATTAAAGAATACAGTTCACATTCTCACCTGTCTTTTAAAAATCGATGACTGACAGAAGGGAGACACTTAGTAAGCACTGGGTGAACTGCTCATTCTTCATTACTATTCTCTAAAAATATTGGTAAAGATACCTAAAATCTCAGACATAAGATTTTTTTATTGTGTATTTTTTATTGAGTTTCTAAGATTTCAGGCAATATTTCCTACTCACATTCAGACCCCCTCCTCAATCCACACCTCCCCCTCCCCCTCCAAACCCTATGCACTCTGCCATACATGTCGAGTCCTATTCATTCAGGTGTTTGTACCCTGATGTCCTTCATTGTAAATGCATCCACTGGAGTCTAGTCAGCCCATCCAGTGGCTGTATGTAAGTCATACTCTCTCTCACCCAGCAGCAACCTAGATTTACTGCTGACCTGCCACAGATTGCTCGCCTCCCTTTTGGGCCCTTGTTTAATTGAGCTGACATGGGTCCCATGTTGGGCCACCACCGCTGTTGCAGGTGCACTTGAGCAAGCCTCCATTGGCCTGGAAGCCTCCACCTCATACATTTATGAATCAGCCCTGGCTCTTGCAATCTTTCTGCATCCTCTTCCACCCTAGATTTACTGCTGACCTGCCACAGATTGCTCGCCTCCCTTTTGGGCCCTTGTTTAATTGAGCTGACATGGGTCCCATGTTGGGCCACCACCGCTGTTGCAGGTGCACTTGAGCAAGCCTCCATTGGCCTGGAAGCCTCCACCTCATACATTTATGAATCAGCCCTGGCTCTTGCAATCTTTCTGCATCCTCTTCCACAATGGTCCCCAAGCTGTGGGTGGATGAGGTTCCATATAGGAGTCCCATCCTACACTCTACAGACTCTTATTTTTTAAAACTTGGCAAGTTGGGGCCTTCTATATGAAACACACTCTCATGTACATGGAATCCTCACTGGTGAAAGTTGAGGGTTGCATTAACCCTCTCTCCACCTCTTACTCCACCATGTTCCATGAGCCTTGGTCTAGGAATTCAAGTGTAGCTGTGTCACCCAGTACTGGGCATCTCCCAGGTGTATGTTCTCTATGGCTGACCAGATGTATAACTCTGTGGTAGCCTCCATCTGTTGCAAAAAGAAGTTTCTTTGATGAGTGCTGTACAGCATGTTTGTTGCTCTAAGGGAGGTCTCTTCTGTCTGTCACTGTGTTCCCTTACAAGCAGTTTCCAGTGATACATATGCATTAATGTTCAGACATAGTATGTGCAGTTCTCATAGAGTTTCGAGGGCATCACTTTTCCCTCTAGTTTCACAGCCTTTTGAGATTCACTCATCTCTATTCTCTTTTTTTTTTTCCAATCTGGCCTCCCTCTTCCCTCCCTCCATAGTCACAGTGTGCCCCTTATCCCCACCCTCCCCCATACTTCCTGACTCCCACCATCTTTCCTTTCCTGACTTCCCTTGCTCCCCCACACTATGGTCCCTTGCAGGTCCCTCCCTCTTCTCTTCCTTGCTGATTACTCCTACTTTTTCCACGTCCCTCAGGTAATATCTGTTCCCTGCTATCCCCCTTTTAGGTTGTTTCTTTTTTTTTTTACCATTATGTATCCTTTCCC